AAAAAAAAAAAAATAGAGGTCCATGCACTCCTTGGTTAAAAAAAAATAGGCACTTTAATGGAACCACAGCAACGTTTCGACCAAAAGGTCTTTATCAAGCGTGACAAAGACTTTTTGGTCGAAACGTTGCTGTGGTTCCATTAAAGTGCCTATTTTTTTGAATCAAGGAGTGCCAGGACCTCTATTTTCTTTACAATATTTGGAATTTGGTGCTTGGTTCCTGGTACAGCAAAAGCACCCTGGCTCAGACTGATGGTAGTGAGTGCAGTTCCCTACATATTCTATCTTGTATGAGACCAGGCTTAGCATTTACTCTGGAACTTCTTTGCTTTCAATAATTCAATACAAGAACATGAATGATGCAGTGGTTTTACGGTTTAGCTTCTGACTGTGTGAATGCTGCAGCAAAATAACATAACACAGAAAGAGGGTTTAGAAATCGGGTAAAGGAGCAATGTTGAAACTGGGGTAGTGGCTGATGCAGAGAGGAGTTCCCAGCAATTCTGGATGTAGAACCAACCTGGGTACCACTTGAGGTCTCTATGGAAACCAAAGTCTTACTCAGATACAGGATTTCCAATAAGAGTCGCCCCCTCCATCTTGACTTGGAAGGGCAGTGGATTTGATTCCAACAGCATCCACGTATACGGCTTACTATATCATTACTACTGGTTTTTATAAAAGATATAAAATATTCTGCGGCACTGTTTCATTGATAAACAAATCATACCAAATGATAAAAATCTTAGGCAACCAGGATCAAGAGATACAAAAAAAATAGCTAGCGCTGGCACTTTTTTCGTATAAATTTTAACCACAAGAATTTGGGGATACTCTTTGTGTGCTCAGCTGCTGTTGTATAAGACTAGAATTCTAACCATTGATTGAGAATATGGTTACTAAATGTTTGCGCACTCTTGATTTTATAATACAGGATCAAGAGATGATGAGGTATCCATCCAAACAAACTCACACCCAAAAGGAAGTGAGTTATAATTACAGAATAGGTAAGTATGTAATGTATCCAGAAAATAAGATACATTGCTACATGTGCAGTCTGTAGCTAACTATATGCATTATTTACATACTCGACAAGACATACACGGTATCTATAGAATAGGTAGGATTAATAGTGTTTGGGAAGACAATGGGAAGAACAGACGCATGATGAAAGATAGTGTAAGATTGCAATATGTAAATAATCGGTTTCTTGACATGCTCCTATAAATGAGTGGGTTTTAAGGCATTTTATAAAATACAGGAAACCGTGAAAAAAATAGCAATCTGAGAGTTATCCTGTATAAGTGTTATAGGTCTGAAAGGAAGACAAGTAAAGGCGCATCTGAATTTGTAATACTTTTTGATTAAGGCGGATATGTAATAATGTGTTGGCATAGCTGCCGAATGAATTCTCGGCGAGAGTAAGGTTGAATCCTATATTATGCAAGATGCCAAAATAAGGATTGACAAAAGGACACAGATTGTTTGACGGAGGAAATTGCCAATTAAGAAACGTTGTGCAAAAGAAAAAAAAATGATTTACCTGCGCACTATCCCAAATCCCTATGCACATTTACATAACTGGAGGTTTAGACGTTTCACTCCAAGGGCCATTAAAGGTCACCTGCCACTTCAACGTCTTGATGTTGAAAATGAGCTTACACTTTAATGGTGAATCGAGTGATGTGTGGCAGTAGAAAGACTGCTCTACAGTGTGTGGCAGAAATCGAGTTGGAAAATAGTAGTTGTCCATGCATCTCGTATTTTAAATGGATGAATGGGAGCTACATGTTTAAGATGAAGGTTGCAGGATTTGGATATGGACTGGATATGGATTAAGGAAAGGGCACTGTAAATTATGGCAACTAGAACAAAGGGTGAGGATGATGGTTTCACCAATTACCTTAAGGTTGGGGTTAGCAGCAAGAATCAATGGTTTTCTTTGGTTTTTAAATTGTGCTTCAGAAAAGGGAACTAAATCCAGTTAGAGACAGAGAAGAGGCAATACGTGATAATTCAAGAGGTAAGAGATAGGAGTATAGAAAGGTAGAACTATATATAAATTAATATTAAAAAAAAACTGCATAAATATATATTTCAAAGGGGAAAGGTAAGCAGCAAAAAAAAAAGTTTAAAAAAAATAAAGAAAACAATAAATTAGTTGAGATCAGTGACCTTTGTAATGAGTACTAATAAAATCATTGGTCACTTTGGTTAATTCAGTATACAGAATCCATACTGAGAAGGGTCATGGAGAGATCTGGAAATGAGAAATGAATTGAGCCAGGAACACATACAATGTTTATGATACATGGATGACTTTCTGACCAAATCCGGGACACTTGGGTGGTATTAAACTCTACTAAATCCTGAGAGCTACACAGGTCTATATATATATTATGTAAGCCTATATGTATTCGGAAGCTTAAGGCTACATATATGCACATTTTAGCAATACGAATAAATTGGGTGTGCAAGATAAGGTTATATTTTAGGAAATTATGATTTTTTTTTATAAACGGCACGTGTGCTTTTAGTATTCATGTAGTAGATGTTTTAAATACTGAGGGTGTTATTTAGCTTCTAAATGGCACTATTAATGTTGCAGACAGAAGGGAAGGGTTGGGCTTGTTTGAATTTGCCAAAAGCCAATTAATAAATTGCAGTGTAGTGCAAATAGCATTGCAGGGTGTGGTGTGTTTAGATCTCTGCTAAGGAGGGCAAATCACAGGTTATTGTTTTTGTTTTGAAATTAGCAGAGCTGTTGAAAAGGGTTGCTTATTGAGCAGTTTAACAAACACTGGCAGGATAACTATGTGGCATTGCTATGTGAGAAGACTACGTGGAACACCGCGGCTGCCTCCCAACATACATTCACTTTCACCCCCTCATTCTAATATACTTGCCTCAAACTCTGTCACACATACCCCCTCACTATTTCACACTCACCTTCCTCACCCTGCCACAGTCACCATCATAGACAGTAGTCTCACAAAGATGAACACAACCGCCCCATAAACACAACACACAAAGACCACAAGCAGCTCCTCTACAATACAATGTAAGGAACTACTTGACAAGCACACACACACACACACACACACACACACACACTTCCAGATACAGACACACATTCACACCCAAGGATGCTCAGGCACATACACAGGAACACAATGCCAGAGACACACACTGTCAGAGATTCTCACTCTTCCTCTCTCTCCCTCAGACACAGTTACACAATGTCAAAGACACACTTGGTCAGAAATGCTCTCTCACCCTCTCATACACAGACACACAATGCAAGAGTCACACACTGTCAGAAATGCTCTCTCTCCCTCTCATACACAGACACACAATGCAAGAGTCACACACTGTCAGAAATGCTCTCTCTCCCTCTCATACACAGACACACAATGCCAGAGACACACTGTCAGAAATGCTCTCTCTCCCTCTCATACACAGACACACAATGCCAGAGACACACTGTCAGAAATGCTCTCTCTCCCTCTCATACACACAGGGCCGGCGCCACCTGTAAGGCGACCTAGGCAGCCGCCTAGGGCGCAACTTAGCAGGGGGCGCCGGATCCCTGCGCCCGGCGGCTCCTCATGCTGCACCGCCTGAGCGCTTTAGCAAGCCCAAGGCGGCGCGGCATTGCTGTGTGGAGGGCGGCCAGGTTTGTGACCGGCAGGAGGGAGGCGCAGAGCGCTCCCTCCTGCCGGTCTCTCAATGTAGCGTGGCCGGGTGGCGCGGAACGCGGGACAGGAACCTCTGTTTCCTGTACCCGGCCGCCAGCGGAATGACAGGAAGTGCTCACTGAGTCCCCCCATCCCCTAATGGTCCTTACTCCCCCCCTCCCCTAATGGGAGAGGGAGGACCACTAAGGGAAGGGATGGAGGACCACTAAGGGAGAGAGGGGGGAGTGAGAAGACCACCAAGGGGGGACTGCAGAGGGACCGGGGGCCAAGGGAGAGCACTAAGGGACAGAAGGGGTAGAACATGGAGGGACAGGAGGGAAGGGAAAATCAATAATTGACAGGAGGGGAGAGCACTATGAAAATTTTAAAAAAAAATAATGAGCTGTTCCCCTCTCAGTCCCTATCCTACCCCACAAACCCTCTCTTTTACACAAACACAAACACAATGCATTCCCCCCCCTACACACACACACACACAGAAACATACAATGCATTCCTACTCACACACAGACACACCCGAAACACACAATGCATCCCTTACGTTCACACAAACACTCATTCACACAGAAACAAAATGCATCTCTTACACAATCAATGCACCCCTTACAGACACATACTGCATTCAATTACATACACAGAAACACACCTTGCACCCCTTACACACACAGAAACATACAATGCATTCCTTACACGCAAACACACACTGCGTCCCCTATAAACACACTACATCCCTTATACAAATTGCTCTCTCTCCCTCTCATACACAGATACACAATGCCGGAGACACACTCGGTCAGAAATGCTCTCTCTCCCTCTCATACACAGATACATAATGCTAGAAATACTTAGCCCCCCCAAGTACACACACACACACACACAGCTCGAACCCCCACACACACACACCACTCAGCCACTATGCACAAACCAGTCACAGAAACAAAGCCAAAAGCTCTTGGAGGGTGGCCCAGTCTGGTACTCTATTTAGGGCTCTGGGCAACCTTAATCTGACTTGGATTTCCAGGAAGGGTAGCGTAGTACAAAATCACCTCTCGGTTGGGTTGGTAAATGGTTTTATTGTTTGCAAGATTTTTGCATTCTGTCAAAAGGAGTAGAAACTGCTGCCATGCACATTGT